CGCGAACGCGACAGGCCCTTCGTGAACGCGAAAAAGGCATGCCCAGTCTTTTAAAAACAGAACTCAAATACGAGATTAAGCCATTCTTTCATATTTTCAAGAACTAGAAGACTTGGAGGCGATTTTCAAGAGATAATTTCTTCCCCAAAGTGTTGGTAAATGATTCTAAACTACTTTCTTCCAATTACCCATTGCATTTCATGAATTTTCAACCTAAAATCTAGGGTTTTCATGGTGGAAATTGGGGGTTTGGGTAGAATTTTGGATTTTTGTATAATTTGAATTTAGACCTCGATATTGGGGTCGGATTTCAAAACTAATTACATATTCGGGCTCGGGGTTGAATGAGTGAATGGGTTTTGGTCCGAACCTCTAGTTTTGACCAAGTGGGTCCGGGGTCGCTTTTTGACTTTTTGGGGAAAATGTTGGGAAACCTAAATTTATGTATTGAAATGGATTCCTTTAGCAATATTTGATGTTATTAAGTTAATGATGGCTAGATACGAGCGGATTGGAGGTGGAAACTAGAGTAAAAGCGGTAATTGAACAGTGAGTGGCCTGTGGATCGAGGTAAGTGTTTGGTGTAACTTTGACTCGAGGGATTAGGGATCCCCGACTTAATTGCTATGTGAAAATCCATATGTGTGGCATATAGGTGAGGTGACGAGTACCTATGCGCCGCCAATTCATCTATTTTTTACTGTTCCATTCCTGTTCGTAATATATTATTCCCTGCCTTAACTGCTACCTGTTTTATTGATATTTCCATGTTTAGTTGCTTCTTGTCGAATATTGCTTTCGTTTTTAAAGGTATTGGATACTACGTGGTTTCATGGATTTATATTATCGTTTTGGGCTGGCTATTAGTGTTTATCAGTATACTTTGGATTGGTTTCGCTAAGTAACATAATTCGAGTGAAGTTTCATAATTTTACTGTTTTCCGTTTGTTTTGGTTGAGGTTAAATGCCATGAGGAGTTTTGAGCCAAATTGTGAAATTTTTGTTCTTATTGTGTGATTGGTACTGATATGGCGGGATCGGGTTGCACGCCGCAATAGGAGGAATAAGGGTGATATATTGAGGAGGAATAAGGGTGAAATGTGATTGTCTGATGGGATCGGTTGCGCGCTGCAACAGGAGGAATAAGGGTGATATAATTGAGGAGTAATAAGGGTAGATTGTTATTGTACGGTGGGAGCGAGTTGCATGCTGCAACAGGATGAATAAGGGTGGATTGATACGAAGTAATAAGGGTGGATGTTCATATTGTTACTGATTATATGGTGAGATCGGGATGCGCGCTGCATCAGTTTATTGTTTATGTATCCTTCTTCTGTTGTGAATTTATTATGTAGTTTTGTATCCCACCTAAGGATTGGTTATAGCTGGGTACTGATAAGATATTGGAGTTCCGTATTCATTTTTGCTGCAAGTTACTGTTTCATTTTGTCCCGTACTTCTTTTTCGCTTTATTATATACTGTATGCAGTTTATATTGTAATTGCCCCGCCGTGACCTCGTCGCTATCTCTTCGAGGTAAGACTCGACACTTACCAGTATATGGGGTCGGTTGTACTGATACTGCACTCTGCACTTTCTGTGCAGATTTTGGAGCTGGTAGTAGCTTGTTGAGAGATTGGCTGCAGGTTCACAGCTTGGAGATCCAAGGTAGTCCTGTTGGCGTCCGCAGGCCCTGGCGTCCCCTTCTACTTTTCTACGTTTATGTTTTTCCTTTGTTTCAAACAGATGTAATTTCTTTCAGATCAATATTTGTAGTAATTTATAGTATATATGTTCGTGGATTGTGACACCAGACTCTGGGTAGTAGTAATAGCTATGGCATTGTGAATAGACAGAAGGTTATTTACATATTTTCGCATTTATTGCTACTTGATTTAGTTTGTTATTTAATCTATGAAGTGTAAAGGAAAAAGGTTAATGGAACTCTAACGTTGGCTTGCCTAGCGAGTGAGATGTTAAGCGCCATCACGGTCCCGATGGTGGGAATTTCGGGTCGTGACAGTTTTTCTGGACGAAATTAGCTAATTTTTTTAATAGTGATACTGTTGATTTAAGCTGGGATTGCACTGAATTGGTTGTTATTGTTATTGTTATATTGTTAATTTAAGCTAGCTTCGCTCAAGTCATATTGAGGCATATTAGAACACCACCAGTGACCCCAATAATTTCACTATCAAAATAAAAAAAAAAGTAAATATTCAAAGAAATTAAGGAAAGTATATATATAAAGTTTACCCTAGGTACACAATTTAGTTATCCGGTGAAAAAGTATCGAATTGACAGCCCTTTAGCCTAAATATTTGCCTGTGGTTGGCAGGCAAGAAGGGATAGGCAACAAAACAATGTTGAGAATTGAATGGATGATCTCTTGACAAGAGTCACCACACAGCATTTCATTGTTTACCACACAAGTAGTGGCAGGTATTGATTCAAATCTAACAAATGACACATCAGAGGGGATTAAGAAAAACACAATCTTTATCTGCAAGTAGGAAATGACACCCCAATCCCCATTTTGAAAGCATAAAGGCTACCTTAAAATTAGTGGACACCAAACGACACTTGCGTAGCGTCACAGAAAATTAATAGTGGGTCATCGCTCACCATTCCTCGCCATTTTTTTTTAATTAATCGCTCCTTACATGTCACTGTTGCGGGGGGTAACATCGGCTCTGTCGTCTATAAAATGGAAAAACTCATTTACCAAAAATCAAAAGAATATGATACGTAGTATTTTTTTATATTCAAAAAAATAATTTAACATTAAATTTTATTCTTTATGTTTAATGAGATTATTTTTAAAAACAAAAATTAATTTATAGCTGATGTTAGACTATACATTTTTAAAAAAAAATCTTTTTGAAACTTTGTGTTTACTGTTTAATCAAATATTCTCATATAAAAAGTATTTTGTACTTATGCTGCCAAACAAATTGGTAATGCAGGCTACTAAATTAAGCTTGAAAAGGTGCCAAAAACAGAATGCTCCTTTTGAAGTCTATTTCAAGTCCTTAAGCTAGCGTTTGGCTATAGATCCCAAATTTATTTTGAAAAATCTGATTTGGGTGAAGTTTAGTTTGAAGATGAAAATGTGTTTGGACACACGTTTTCAAAACATATTTCCCTACTTTATTTTGGAAAAACATGTATATAATTCCCAAGTTTTGGGATTTTGGCCCAAAATCAGCAATTGGGGTGATTTTGGGATTTGGAATTTTGCCAAAATGTGGGCAAAATTTATGGCCAAACATGAGTTTTGAAAATAAATCCCAAATTTATTTTTGCAAAACTCATGGCCAAACGGGTCCTAAGGCCAAGGAACATCCGCTTAATAGTCTGTTTGATCAAGCTTCGAACATCAGTTTATTTTAAAAAGTAATTTTCAAAAAAAGTTGGTTAAGCAATTTGTGTTTGGCTAATTAATCTGAAAATCACTTTAAACGACACTTGGTGTTTGATCAAATTTTTAAAAAGTACTTCTAACTATATGTTTCTGCTTTTACTCAAAAATATTTTTTTTCCTTCTAAAAGTTTGGTCAAACCCTTAGACTTTGAAAAAAATGTACTTTTGATAAAAAAAAAAAAGACCAAAAAGAAGTTAGTCAAAAAAATAATTTTGACCAAAAAGAAGTTAGTCAAACAGCCTATATAAAATGAAACTCATAAATATGACATATATATAAATAACAAAATTTTAAATTTTTATTTTTAATTGTTATTTTTAATGAGATAATATATAAATACAGATGTACCTATAATTAGTTTTAAATTATTTATTTAAAGAATCTCTATTTCTTTCTGAAACCATCCTCATAAATTGGGAGAGAGTAAGGAATATTTTACAATTTTGGTGCGAAACAAATTGGTAATGTAGACTACTAAGTGCCCGTTTGGACATAAAATTTGATGGAAGATTTTTTTCAAAATTTTTTTACTTTTTTTCGAAATCAGCATTTGTTCATAAAATTTTCAATCACTTGAAGATGCATTTTGAAAATCTTTCGAAAATTTGAAAAACTGCAAAAAGCTATTTTTCAAAATTTTCACTTAAATCACTCACAAAAATTCAAAAACAACCCAAACTGAAATTTATAACATAATTCTAAATTTCAAATTCATTTTCACTTAAAAAAAAAATTTCACCATTTTTTCGAAATTTACAATTCTTATGTCCAAACGCCTACTAAATTAAGCTTGAAAAGGAGCCAAAAATAGAGGGGGATCTTTGGCAAATATCCGGGCAGGGAAACTATTTACCTGCCCCTACCCATGCCGTTTGCCCCCTACATTTTTTTGAAATATTCAATCAAAGCCAACCAAATGAAATCAAACAAAGATACTAAACCAAGCCAAGCAAAGTTAATTCAAGCCAAGTTAAATCAAACAAAATTAAATCAAACAAATAGTCTGTTTGGTCAAGCATCTAAAATCTGCTTATTTTGAGAAGTGTTTTTCCAAAAGTACTATTCAAAAAAGTACTTTTGGTGAGAATCAATTTTTGTTTGGCTAATTAATTTGAAGTGCACTTTTGAACAGTAATTAGTGTTTGACAAAGCTGTTGAAAAATGTTTGTAAGTGTATTTTTTTCAAAAGTGTTTTTCAGAAAAGTGCTTTTGGAGAGAAGCTATATTTTTCTGCTTCTCAAAAACTGCTTCTGCTTCTCCTCAAAAGCATTTTTTTTCCTTCTAAAAGCTTGGCCAACCACCTCAATTTTTCGCAAAAAAAGCCCTTTTGATCCAAAAAAAAAACTTGGCCAAACCGGCTTTAAGCCAAGTCAAATGGATAATTGATGGGTAAGTAAGAATAATTAGTTTTAATTAGGTACCTATATATTATAAATAATTTTCAAATTAATAGAAAAAAATAATTATTTTAAGCCCAACGAGTATTTTGCATAAATTGCTCAGAATAGAGCGTGCCTTTTGAAGAGTATTTCAAGTCTATAAGACCCACCAACAGCCGATTAAATCGGCAAAATACTAGTCCTGGATCTAGCGATTAATTGACCGGCTTCAATTGATTTGCCTAGGGGGACAGCAGTCCCCACTCCCCCGCCCAAAAATTACCCACCCACTCAGTACTCTGTATATTTCCTCCACAAAAACTCTTTTGAATCGTTTGAAACCATGAACTCAAACTCTCCTTCCATGGCTAACAACAACTCAACGCCTACCGACTCTTCTGGCAAAAAGGTTCGCAAACCTTACACCATAACTAAGTCTAGAGAAAGCTGGACTGAAGAAGAACACGACAAGTTCCTTGAAGCTCTTCAACTGTTATGTTTCTTCTCCCTTTTTTTAGTTGTTTTAATTGTGAAGAAATGTGTGTTTGTACATATTATTGAGTTTGTTATTTGTTTCTGACCTTGAGCCGAGGGTCTACGTCCACAAGGGTAGGGTAAGGTCTGCGTACACTATGTGTAATTACAATTGGCATGTTGACGTTGTTGTTGTTGTTGGTTTCTGAATTGTATATACAGTGGAACAATTTTGTAAAAAAAAAAGTACTTATTCTAAGATATAGCGTTCATTGTAATGAAATATTAGTGGATGCAGTGGTACTATGCATCTAATAGTAATTTTGGATCAGTCTCTATGTTGGCAGTAGCAGAGGTTTGTGTTCAATTGAAGAATTTGCTGGGTAGATGTTTGGATGTTATTCCGGTGTTGCAAAGAAGTTGGCTTGTTAGAAAGAGCATATTTTTATTTATTTAATTTTTGTCCTTAACATGAGTCAAGTGATTTTTTTATATTTTTTTTTCTTTTCTGCTATACGGGAAGAAACTAGAAAGCCGTATAATTGGTTTATTCTAGTATTGATTTTGAATTTTATTTTGGAAGTTCCATTTTTGTAGTACTAATTTGGATTTTTTATGGTCAGTTAGCTCCTTTATGTTGCCTTTGTGACATGTGTGTTCTGAATCTTAAAGCTGGATTAGAAAATTTGCTTTTTTTCTGAAGCTTTGGTGTTTCTTCTAAATTTGGGTTATTCAGGTTTGACCGTGATTGGAAGAAAATTGAGGATTTTGTAGGTTCAAAGACAGTAATTCAGGTGCTCACTTCTAGTTCATCTTTCTGACGAAGCTCACAGAGAGAAATAGTTAGTTTTATTCTGTTTGTATATATTTGTTCTGCTGAGACATCGTGGTGTATTTCTCCACTTAATTATTAATGGTAGTAACTTTATGTGATTGACATATTCCTAATCATGTATACACCGGACAAGTACCATTTCTCTTTGGATCTGCTATCATAAAATGCTAGTCATATTTTTGAATATACTTAATGTGTACTGTATGTTGCCTGGTGCATTTACAAAGCTTTCGCTTTTGGAGTATTTGTTGGTGTATGACATGAACGCATGTACCTGGCGTAAAATGTAGGGCTGACTTAATTTAATCCTGTTAGATCCTCTATTCCATGGGAATTTATTTGGGCATGTGCTAATGTGCAAAATTTAAGTACTATTTTTTTAGGCCCTTTCTTTTGTTCGATTTAGAGAATTTTTCATAAATCTTTTTTTTTAATAAGGTAAAGTTTTATTAGTAAAGTTACCAACAATTGCCAGAAAAAGATAATTTTTCATGAATTGCTTTCATTTATACAAGACATTTGCCTAATTTTCTTGGTTGCAGATTCGCAGTCATGCTCAAAAGTACTTCTTGAAGGTCCAGAAGAATGGTACAACAGCACACGTGCCACCACCTCGGCCCAAGCGTAAAGCAGCTCATCCTTATCCGCAGAAGGCACCAAAAAATGGTTGGTTTGCATTTACAAAGTTGTCTTATGGCTCATTTGGTATATCTATGTCTCATATAGTCTCTTGTTTTTTTCCCTTCTGGATCTACTTTGAATAGTTTTAGTACCATTACAAGCCTCTATGGGTTACCCTTCTTCAATGAATTCCCTTCCACCTGGATATCCATCATGGGATGACACTTCTGTACTCTTAAATTCTCCATCTGGCGGAGCAATGCCATCACAAGATGAATACCATCTTCAAAGAATTCAGGGTGTGTACCTGACTATAAACTTGGTATTTGTGTCTGCATATATTATAGATCTTCTTCCTGGTTGAGGGATTTTTCTGCACTTATTTCAATGTATACATTACTGATTCAGCTGATATTGGATCAAAGGGAGCTACATTGATTAGTGACAGCAGCATCAGTGGCATTAGAAGTTCCAGCAGAACGGCTCCCAGTTCTGAACTACCGGAGCAGAGCAAACTAGGTTCTGTTCCTCATGGTAAGGTTCTCTAGCATACAATTATGACCTTAGCCCTACAACTCATTTCTTGAGGGAAACATTGTATGGTTTCCATGCATTTCGGACATTCTGTCATAAGTTTCTCAATGCAGCATCTGCATAATGTAGTGTTTTCATTCTTAGCTTTTATTTGGTATCACATATCATTTCCCAGTAGTATGCACATCTAATATTGTCATGGGTTATTTTCTTGCTCATGCATGGAACTTTACTTGATCTTTGATGTGTTGCCAGCTCAACCCAGAAAAGAACCATTTTCCATCCACATGCCAAATCCTAGTTCCTAAAGAAACTTGCAACCGCTTAGTGCCATTTCATGATTTTGGTCCTCAGCTTATCCAACTTTGCACACAAACTTTCATCATGCAAATTTCATACTTAAGGTGAAATAATAAGAATGGTTTTCAAGAAAAGGAAAAGTTCCTTGAAGGTTGCTTGCACAAAGCCTGCCAAAGGGGGACAGACTTTCTAGGTTAAACTGGTATTTCTGTTTTCTTTTGTCAGTTTTCTTTTGATATTGAGAAAAACATCAATGAAGTTTCTAAATTAAAAATAAGTTTAGACACTGAGAACAAAGTTATGCAATTTATCTTGTAAGCAAAAATTTAGGTAGTTTACGGGTAGCTAAAAATTTTAAGTTAATGAGTGTTCTCTTGTTCATATAAGGTTCTGAATGCCAACGTCAGGACAAATTTATTATATCAGGAGAATTTCCACCTTGATGTTTATTCTCTTGCTCTATTTTAAGTTTGAATGCCAGTGGAAGGTCAAATTCATTATAACAGTAGAATTTCCACTTCGTTTTGAATCTGTATAGATATTGGTTCTACCTCTTGCCTCCAATTTTTGTATTTGAGAAGCTTTCTCTCTTTCTTTTCTGTTGAGAGAAATGATAAAAGGAAATTGTATTTGAGAAACTTTCGTCATTTTCAGATCACGAAATCATTTTATCCACTTTTATATTGTTTTGATTATGTTAGAAACTAATGATTTTGAATTTCCCTGGAGTCTATTGGAAATGCTTTAGTGTTATTTGATTTTTTCTACCACTCTTATTGATTCCACCCCCCTCCTCCCCCCTTCTCTGAAAGGAAAAGGATAGGAGTGGGTTGTGTTAATGATTTTTTTCTTCCTAATATATTGTATCCCTTTTCTTTTCGTTTCTCTCTTTTGTATCTTCATCAGGGTGGGAACTTTTGTTTTCTAGTTTGACAGCAGTCTTACTTCTTCTGATTTTAAATGTTTCGTCTTGGTCAAATGGAAGTGTATAAAGTGTGTATTGGTACTTCAATTACAGGCATACCTGACTTTGCAGAAGTCTATAGCTTTATTGGGAGTGTCTTTGACCCAGACACTAAAGGTCATGTACAGAAGCTGAAGGAGATGGACCCTATTAATTTTGAAACTGTGAGTTTTGGATGCATTGTAAATTAAGCATTTTACATTTGCTTCTGCTTCCTAAGAGCTCTTCAGCTTTCTTGCAGCTAACTTTAACTTACCGAGTCAGGTTTATTTCAATGTTTATGCTAGGTGAAGTTTTTAATGGTATTATTTCCGTGTTACTTGATTCCATTTTCTGTATTCCCGAGTTATTATTGGGTAGGACTCTTTAATTTAACTCACATTCAATCAATAGAGGGAACAGATGCCAAAGAGTAAGATCATCACAGAATTTAGTTAGGCTGAATTGCATTTTTTCAATTGAAAACCTTTTCTGAAGGAGCTGAAAGAAGTAAAAAAGATGTTGATCTCTCTGAAGAATATATGTAAATTCTCGATACGGAAGTTTTTACTTCAATTATGTTCGGCCAGATATTCATTTCAAAATCTAGAGGCATATGTCAAGACACTGCATTTATCTGCACTTGCAGGGATTTGAAAGTTTCAGATGGGGAGTTTTAGATTGGGGTCAATGTAAATTTCATCTGGGTCTCCTTTCCTCTCTCACCTTCCCTATTTTAATTTCTTCTATCTTGCCTTGAAGAAATCTAAATTGGTGGTATTGCAAATCATGTTCATCTGCTTTCTCTGGACTTGCAGGTTTTGTTATTGATGCGGAATCTTACAATGAACTTGTCTAACCCTGACTTTGAGCCCATTGTGAGTGTGCTCCTTTGACTATACGTTGAATGGTTGCTTTTTTCATAGTAAAATCCTACTTTTTATGCTGAATTTCTTGTTTCCTTTAAAGGCAAGCTTTTACATGAAGATTAGATGCTTTATTCATTTTCATAAAGCAAAATGAAAGGTCTACCCTGTTCAACATTTTTTTTTTGAGTTTTTTTTCTTTTAATTCCCTCCCAATTTAGGAGGATCTATAGTGTTTCCACACTTCCCCTCCAGCGTGACTCGAATCTAGGACCTAACGGTCGTGGGTGGAGCTGCATTACCAACTGAGCAAGCCTCACTTGTCACCCTGTTCAACATTGAATTCAGTCTTTAATACTTTGATTTGTCGTTGAAAAGGCAAGACGAGAATGGAGTATATCTCAGCCAGTGGTCTCCTTTGGTCTTGCTTAGGTGTTAACCAGATTACTTGTCCAATGAGGCGGCTATCATGCCTCAGTCACCTTCCTGGTTTAAAAGTCCCAAACCTGATTCAGTGTTACATTATATTGATTTGTTTGCAGCCTTCTTAATGTTAGGAAAAGTGCTTGAAATTTATCGGGTCCTGGGTTGTTGAGTCCATATATGCATTTCACATCCTTATTAAATTAGGCAAAAGAATTGGTCTTATAAGGAAATTGCTGTCATTAACTGTCAGCTTGTGTCCAATACTAAATTTATGCGTCAGCACCAGTTACCTTGGTTGTGAGAGAACTTTCAAACTTTCCCTTCACATGATCCTACAGCAATAATCTTTGCACCATTGTCCATTAGTTTTCAACATTGAATTATTAGGCTGCCTCCCGTTAAGATTTGAGAGGCTAAAGGTTTTATATCTTCCCATAAAAAAAATTTGATTTGGATTCTGATTTTGTGCAAGTATCTTGTTGCTGTTATACAGCTATTAAGTGACTGAAAGAACTAGTGGAGTGTGATTCAAATGGATGGAAAGCTGTTGATAAATGAATAGCAGTGTATTCAGTATTACTTGTAAATTCTTGCTCTATATCTGTTGAAGTGTTTGACCATCTCATTTAAAAGCTTAAGCTGTAAGAGAGAGTATACTTTTATTTACTTAATTATGTCTTCAACACGTCCCCTCACGTGCAAGCCTGATTCTTTTTGATGAGCCAAGCATGTGAAAATTCTTTTTGATATTGGGTGGCAGTGAGACTCGAATCCAAGACCATTGCTTGCTCTGATACCATGATGAAGTGTGTGACCATCTCATCTAGAAGCTTAAGCTGTTAGAGAGCACACATTTATTTACTTAACTAGTCTTATGGTACGCGCTTTGCGCGTGTAACTAAGTCGGTGAGTAGATGACTTTTTAGAAAATCGTATTAGCACTATTAAATATAATATGTTTGTAATAAAAAAAAGTATACTCCTTAAAATATAGCATATAGTTTTACTTTACAAGACTTATCTATAAACTTTTCCGTGTTAATTTTTCTACTTTTCTGATTATCTTTCACCGCCAATACTATTCTTATAAAAACAAATTTAGGTATCCTAAGAGTTTTGTCAACTTGAAAAATAATTTTAATTATACGACGAATTTGACAAATAATTGATTTGAATTTTTAGACTTAATTATTTGACCTTAACATTAACGGAACTAATTTATGTTTTATTGATTCAAATTCTTAATATTAGCTCATCCCAAGTTTTAAATATTTAATTGTAACATGAAAGGGATTGCAATTATGTTATATCTTTCAAATAAGAAATAATTGTATAAGTTAATTAAAATTTAATTTATTTAAAGTACTGAATGCTAAATCTCTCTACATAGTTCAAATAAAAAGAATTAAAATAAAAAGAATTAAATTATACTTAATTTTTAGGTCTTAAATATTTAAAAATTAATATGAAAGATATTATAGTTAAATTGAATAATTATAATAAGAAAGGATTAATTAAGAAACTATTGGCTAAGATAGAAAACCTAATATCAGTCAGAAAATTACATATAGTTACTATGTTCGACCGCAAAAATATCTATTTTGATACGACATTTTATTATAGCATTCGATAAGATTTTGTTTTTTGAATCCTATGACATATAAATAAGAATTATTGTTTTATCAAACCCTTTAGAAGTATTGTTTTTCTAGAATGTCTATTAAAGCATTATGAACTCCAAATAATTAGTTCGACCATAACTTGAATTTCTTTTTCTTTTTTTTTGTTTCTTAGGATAATTTTAGGTTTTATGATGTCTATAAAGAATAAAGTTTTTCTAGGGCGATAACTTCTATATCTATCTTTGTTTGTAAGGTAAAAAATTTAACGATCCTAAATTTTAGCAATTCTTATATATTTTAAATAAGTAAAGATTTAATAGCTAAAATTTTAGTTGATTTCAAAGTCCTAGTAAAAATATAAAATGACAATTTTGTTCAGTGTGAACTCTAATTTTAAAGGACAGAAAAGGTGAACGACATTTCGTTAAGGGTCTTCATGCCTAGAGGGGATAATTTTAGAGTACGCGCGTTGCGTGTGAATCCTTATCGATGGGAATAAATTTTAAAAAATCATATGAATAATATTATTTGACTTCCTATATTACTTAATAAGCATAGTTTTAAAAAAATATGTAGAAAGTTATAATTTAAACGATCTTATAAATTAGAGTACAATTTACTACTAATTTAAATATATAAATCTAAGTATCTTATCTATGCTTCACTTGTCAAATATTGTAATTGGGTTTGTGATTTAATATGGCCATATATTTCAATATGTAAATAAAAAAATTAAAGTATGTTATATATTATTACTGTTAACTATTATTATTTTTAAATGTAAGCATTCCGTTTATTTAAAGATATTTTCTTACTCATCCTAATGTGCTTATGGTAGTTTAGAATAGTAATTTTTAGTGTTCAGAAATTTAAGAAATAAATTTATATAACTTAAATATTAGGAGTTTCTATATAGTTCAAATAAGAAAATATTTAATACCAAATTTTTAATGTATTTCACTTAAATATTAGAAAAAAATAATTACACTTTTATCCAATATGACATCATTTTCTAAAGTGTAAAGAAGCGAACAACATTCCACTAAGGGAGTTCGTGTTTTTAATATAGTATATAATATGTGGATAGATATAGGTATAAATAATTTGTATAAGATAAAAGTTTAATTGATTTTGTATAAGTTTTAATTGATATCAAAATCCTAAATATAAGGCCTTAGTTCAAATAAAGAGGATAAATTTAATAAATAAAACTTTAGTTGATCTCAAGATACTGAATATTAGGGAAAAAATCAATTCCGATCGCACTTCCAAGTCACAAATCATCCCCCGAAGCTAACCAAATCACTGGAATTCACATCCGAGCCCTCTAACTATATAGTCAACTTCCGGTTGACTTTTTCCAAAACAAGCTTCCTTCTAAGAGGCTAAGTGCCTCATTTCCAACTAAAACAAATCCAATTCTACCCGATCACCTCAAATACCGATACTGAAACGTAGAGAAACATAATATGGGGAAACGGGGCGGTAACTCACGTGACGACGGGCCGGGTCGTCACATTCAGATACTTAATTATTTATTTTTAATATTAAAGAAAATTATTTATTTATGTTGATTCAAATTCTTAATATTAGTCCATCCCAAATTTTAAGTGTTTACGTAATTATAATTTTATCTAGTAAGAATTCTATTTTTAAGGATAAGATATTAATGAATATTTTAGTTTCGAATCTTTGTTCGCGAGACTATAAGTATTATATCTGTCATCTTTCTCTCTTTTTCTCTTTTATATTGTTAGATATAGATATTTTCTCTGTTATTTGTTCTAAGTGTTGATTGTAATTTTTAAATATTATACAAAAAAACTTATGAAGAAAAATATATTGTTTTAGTAGAAGATATTTAAAATATAATATGAAAATATATTATAGTTTCATATAATACAAACTTAATTATGGACTCAAAATTTAATCATCTTAGCAAATGCACAACTATCAAATATTATATTAACAAAAACACTTAACTTCAGATAATAAAATCATTGAATTACTCACCGTAACATCGCTATCCAATTATTTGGAATCATGATGACAAATTAAGTCACAAATTTAGCTGAGAGAGACGAAATCTACTCCTAAAACTAAGACGAATTGATTGTTAGTTTTTTTTTCTTTTACAAATTTGTGATATTATATAGTTTAAATAAGGAAGAATATAATATGTTAAATTTAGTTGACTGAAGTCCTAAATATTAGGAAAATAATTAAATATCTATGCTTGAATATTAGGAAAATAGTAAAATGACTATTTTGTCTAGTGTTAAATCAAACTTTAAAGGATAAAAAAGGCGAACGACATTTCGCTAAGGGCCTTCGTGCTTTTAATATAGTATAGATTATATCTCCAACAATAGTTTGATCTTGTAGCTGAAACATTCCTATGCTATGATATTGGGGTTGAGAGCCAGCTCACTTGGTGAAAATGCTTGGCTCCAAGATGTAGATGGAGGGTTCAAACTGTAGAAGCAGCAGACCCTTCCCCTTTTCCCCATTGCCTCCTCCTCCCCTTCTGTATCAATGAAAGAATGTGCTTCATTTAAAAAGAAATGTTGTACCATGGTGCATTTGGAATAACTTCAAGAAATATATTCCATCTATTCCAGAAAATCTCCTACTGGAGATATTCCTCAATCCTTTTCTTCGTCAACTCTCAAGGAAGTCATGATGCTTTTGACGATAGGTTCAGGGTATAGTAAGCTTAGTAAGAATTCTGCTTTTCTTTTTGGACGTACTACCAGAGAAACTATATTGAACTCTTAGTATGTTTGGTTTATACTAATCCTCACTCAAATCGAAATTGAGGACAAATTCCATGCACCTCTCTATAATCTATGTTTTGAAAATCAGCATGCTCTGTCCACATACTTCAAAAGAGAAAAGGCTCAAAAGGATATTGTTTTCAACTTGATGTCAACAAGAGAGATTGGTGATGAAAGATCACTATAGAAAGATGGGTAATAATGACTTCAGTGTACCTCAGCCTGCATTAGTGTGACAGGCTGTGTTGACTCCTCCTTGCTTATTCACCAGCCTTTTCTTTATGTTATTCAAGGAGAACCAGTGGCCTTGAAATCCGAGGTCCACGAGATTATAAATGGTTCACAAATTTGTTGGAGTTTGCAATCTAGTTAGTCTTAAGGGTATACCTCTTTTCATCTCCTCAATCGGCATCTTTAGGCTGAAGTACCAGGAGCCGTAGAAAACTGATTTGGTCCCTAACTTTTTTCTAGAGGTTCCTCACAGAAGTTATTTCAAGTTTGTGATTACGTTAACATGACTGGCGCAGTGCAGTCATGGACCTTTGTTCTGGATGAATTGTGTAGTTTACACCATTTACATTTTCTACCTTATAAATCCTTCATAACACGCTCCTTCTCTTGCCATCTTTTGTGCAGAAAAATGTATTGTCAACATATGATCTCAGTACAAAGGTTGTGGGTCTTCCTGCTGGTGGTGCTGTCAAGAACCACACTGATCTATCGTGTCAGACAATATGATAGAAACTATAATTGTTACAGTTAGTATCTTTTTCCAGCCTCATTTTTCAGAAGTTTCTTTTTATTCCTGTTATGCTAAGAGAATTAATCCTCCTCTATCAGTATATCTATCAGCTAGACTTTCTCCAACAACGGCGAGTCTTTGCGCTCTTGATTTGTCAGAGCTGGAAAACAATGTTCATCCCCAGAAAGTCTCAGAGTCGTGGCATGGATAAGATTTAAGAGCATCTTCCTCTGCTTTCTCCTTGATGCTCAGTGGTTGCGGAGAATGTTCCTGTTAGAAGTTGAGCTTCTCCTAGTGAGAAGCGTGCCCAAGTCTTGATAGCATGTGTTTTTTCCCTTGAGATGTATATTCCCTCAATTTTGTGCAGCTTAATATTTGGAGGTGTTGTAAAACTTGTAGATTTTAGAGCAATAATAATGAGGAAAAAGTTCTTGTACCTCATTGCCTGTTGAAGTATGCATTTAGGACATACACTCAGGCCTTGTTTTAGTTGTAATCTTGTTGCAGATTAAAGTTAAATAGCGGTTCGTCCTAGTCTGTTTAAACTGCTAGTAATACTTAATATACTTGCTTTGTGTCCATCAGATTCTCTGTGGACGTTGTGCAGCAAGAATAATTGATGCATTGTGTGTGCATAGTCTTGTTTGGTTTCTCGATCTGAATATCTCTCACCTGGTGTCTAATGCTTCCCCTTAAAAATGAAGTACAAAAGAGTATATAGCGCGAAATTTATGAGTATGTGAGCTTCAGATATTGAATAGTTAAATCGGAAAAGGAAAAGCTAGCAGCTAACATGTTAGTTTTCCAGCCAGAAAGGTGTCCTATAAGGTTTTCTGTAGGAATTTTCACCTTCCCTTTCAAGAGCACCACGAAATTGGCATAGAAAGCAACAAAGGATAGCGGAAATAACAAAAACTTTGCTATGAACTGCCAATAATAAACACTAATCAAAGATAATCAATAAGGAAGGATCAATTTAAGTTCTTACTGTAATTCATAAGCCCCTAGTACCTATATTAACTCGAAAAAATAAATTAACATTCAATTACATAAGATAATCCAAGGAGTAAAGGAAAAAAGCTCATACAAGAATACTTAACTAAGACTAATCCAAATGGAGGTCTAAGAAGAGAACTAAGATAATCCTAAATTCACAAGAGTTGGTCTTCAATCCAAAATCACGCGTCTGGTAAAAATAAGGCAAGTTATTTGGCTGGTAATAGCATCCATTAGTCTCATTCTCATTAAAAACCAGACACTGATCATATATAAAATATGTATTTCATATGTATATTATATATTAATATATCAAAAATATACATTTATTGTCTATTATTTTATAGAGCCGTTATATTGTGTTGTTTTCCCTAAAAAAATTGTACATTTGTGTATTTTCTTTTCACTTCCATTGTTTACACTAAAAATATACTTTACCATGCTTAAGTAACAAATGAGATAAAACTACATATTAATTAACTATAATTACATTATAAAATAGCATGCTAAAAGACACATATCATGTTACACTTATACTACTGTTGTCTGTTGTAATTGAATCTTTCCTACTACTCCTTATACATGTGTGTATAGTGAAGAAGAAATAATGGGCTTAAGCCCAATAACGCTATGTGTTCTGCTCGTGGAAGGCTAATTGGCCCATTTCCAACCCTACTCCTTAAAACTTAGCTCCTTCAAAACTTCACTCTGCTCTACTCCTTTCCACAAACCCTAGCATCTTCTCCTCTTCCCCTCAACCCCCAAAATCACCAATGGCCACCGCAGCCGCCATTCCAACCACCACCGTTCAATCATTCGAAAATGACATGGCCACTGACGGTGGTGCCGTTCCTCTCCCTGCCGTGATGAAAGCTCCGATCCGTCCCGACGTTGTCACTTACGTCCACGCCAACATCTCCAAAAACTCCCGACAACCTTACGCCGTCTCCAAAAAAGCCGGTCACCAAACCTCTGCCGAGTCATGGGGTACCGGTCGTGCCGTTTCACGTATCCCACGTGTTTCCGGTGGTGGAACCCATCGTGCTGGTCAAGCTGCTTTCGGTAACATGTGTCGTGGCGGTCGTATGTTCGCTCCGACCAAAATCTGGCGCCGTTGGCACCGAAAGATCCCCGTTAACCAAAAGCGTTACGCCGTTGCTTCAGCTATTGCTGCGTCTGCAGTACCCTCGCTAGTCCTTGCGCGTGGGCATCGTATCGAGTCAGTTCCTGAGCTCCCTCTCGTTGTTTCAGATTCAGTTGAGAGCATTGAAAAAACTTCTAATGCTATCAAAGCTTTAAAACAAATCGGCGCTTATCCTGATGCTGAAAAAGCTAAGGACAGTCACGCTATTCGCCCCGGCAAGGGTAAAATGCGTAACCGTAGGTACATTTCTCGTAAAGGACCACTCATTGTGTATGGTACTGAAGGGGCTAAGTTAGTAAAAGCATTTCGTAACATTCCTGGTGTTGAAATTTGCCATGTGGAACGATTGAATTTACTAAAGCTTGCTCCTGGAGGTCATTTAGGAAGGTTTGTTGTGTGGACTAAATCGGCCTATGAGAAATTGGATGAGATTTATGGTTCGTTTGACAAGCCGTCTGAGAAGAAGAAGGGATACGTGTTGCCTAGGGCGAAAATGGCGAATGCCGATATTGCTAGGATAATTAATTCTGATGAGGTGCAGTCTGTTGTGAGGCCTATTAAGAAGGATGTGAAGAGGGCCACATTGAAGAAGAATCCATTGAAGAATCTGAATGTGTTGCTGAAGCTTAATCCGTATGCGAAAACTGCTAGGAGAATGTCCCTTTTGGCTGAGGCCCAAAGGGTTAAGGCTAAGAAGGAGAAACTTGACAAGAAGAGACATCAAGTTACTAAGGTATATTCTTCAAGATCTGTGTAGTTCTAATCTTAGATTTACCTGATAAATGTTTTCGTGATAGTAGAAGAAAATGATTGCTTTTAACGCATGGTTAGCTAGTAAATAGTAAAGAAAGTCTAGTCATACGCGAAAGTCTAGTCATACGCGAAGAAAGGTAAAAACGTGTCTGTATTTTGCCGCATGATTGGGGTTCATTTATTGGGATAGAGTCTGATATTTGTTATCTCCTTACTGCTTGCAATCTTAATTTTCTTAACCTAAAGTGGTGTGATAGAAATAATGATGCTTTTGACACCTGCTATAGTTGATGGTTGGTTTGACTGCTTCTATATAATCTACTTATGTTGAGTGTTTTGTGATGCCATTAAAATCCAATCCTTTTCCCTCCCTCAGATTTTATATGACAAATAGAAACTAAATTATGTCTGGTAACCACTAGTGAAGCAATTAACTTCAGGAAATGAGTTGCTCCCTCAGTTCCACTTTATGTGACCTAGTTTGGAGTACAAGAGTCAAGCTGACTAATTTTTGGTGTGAATTTGGACATAGAATTTCCAATTTTGAAATAAAATCTACATATTTAGAAACTACTTAAAAGGTACTCTAAGTTCCAAATAGTTAGTGATTAAAAATATTTAGAAAGTATTTATAAAAAATGTGGTCAAAGAATCTTCTTTGGCCCTCCAAATGGTAATTGTCACATAAAGTGAAACTGAGGGAGTGGTTGTGAAGTACAGTGGGATGGTTCAGTTTGCAAGAAGTTCTTAAGTTGTAGTGATGAGAAATGGTGTCCTGATTAATATGATAACAGTAGGGATATGTTTTGGTCTTATCCTGAGATGTGACATTGTGTTTTTTTGATAAAAACAGGATTAATGTTAGGAACTCTCTCACTTTAGTTATTTCACCGTAGGTGAAAATGTCTTCAATGATGATAAAAAAGATCCTGACTCTTTCATAATTGTTGTGTTCAGAAGACAAAAAAGATTAAGTGGACAAACTTGTATGCATTTATTTCTGATTATCTTATACGTGAGAGTAGTTGTACTGTATTACTAACTCTACTCTCTTTATTTATCACAGGAGGAGGCATCTGCTATCAGGTCTGCAAGCTCAGCTTGGTACAAGACTATGATTTCAGATTCCGACTACACAGAGTTCGATGTTTTCACAAAGTGGCTTGGAGTTACGCAGTGAAGGGATCTTCTTTTGTTTTCAATACAAGCTTCTGTTCTTTTTACATTTGTAACTTTGGTGGTTCAAGACAAGAAACAGGTAAGTGGGAGGAAATTGCATGTCCAATTTACCTTAGGTTACTCTGAGAAGCTTCTCAGTGCCCACAGTTGGTGTCAGTTTTCTTTTCAGTTGGATAATTTTGCTGAGGCATGGTATTAAATGTTTTATAGAATAGCTTGCTATTGATGATATTTCTACACTGCTTGTCTGATCAATCAGTATGGTTTGTTTGCCTTCTCATGCTGATGCTGCAGTTCACTTGAAGATGATAATAAGATGTTTGTTAGTATTTGGTTTCTGTTGGTTTTGTCTGTCTAAAGTTAACAACATGACAGTAAACATAATCTTTTCTCCAAAATAAAGGAAAGAAAACTTTGATGGGTAGATAGTAATCATGCTACAAGAAAAGTGGTTTTCACTGTTATGTGCCAGTACATAACCTTACTTTTTGTACCCAAACAAAAATGAGAAAACATAAGGCTGGCATTCTTCTGGTCACAAATTGTAGGATATGAGCTATTGTTATCCTGATTGGCCAGTGGTAGCAATGTTGCATTGTTGCAAATGCTGCAACTTTGATGTTATAACTGTTGAATACCAATGAAGAATACGCTCCTTCTGCTACATTAAATGTGTGTTTTGGGCAGTGTTGTAGTAAAGGCTGTTCTTGGGCAGTGTTTTAGCAATGTTGCAATTCTTGCAACTTTGTTGTTGCAACTCTTGAAGAGAAGTGTGGCAGAAGAATATATTCCTTGTGCCGCATAAATGTGGTTCTCACTGTTCTTGGTTTTATGATCGAATCAAGATGTATTACCTCAATGAAATACAAATTGGTTTTTTGCTTAAAGTCATCTTATGGTTGACGAATTTAACATGAAGAAGTAAATGTCATGTAATTTAAAATTTAACTATCACTTAAGACGTATATGAATTATTAGATAACTACTATCAGTTAAGACAGTTGACGGATCACCAGGACTTGTAATAAGGCAAGTTTTGCCCATCAATCAGAAATTCTAGTAACTTGCTAGGATTTTGCTGCCTAGTTCTGGCCGCAAAGCAATTTATTCAGAACTATTTAAAACATGGTCAAAACATGAACAATGTCATTAAGAGATCCTATTACAAATCACTCTATTATTCATGTCTATTGGGTCAGGTCCTAGAACCAAGCAGGCCCAGCCCAATCAAGGTGAGCCCAGTAACACAAGTTAAAGGGATTTTGGCACGGTATGACAATGTACCTACATAATTAACATAAAAAAGTCCTTAGTTATAGATATTGGCACCATGTAGTCAATAAGTGTATATCACAACAATAATGTGTATACCAAAATATATATTACAACTTTATTTTACTTCTTTGCGTATATCAAAATGTATATTAAAATTTTATTTTCCTTCTTTGTATATCTAAAATATGAAATTATAAATATAATTGTTTAAAATTTATTGTTGTCTCTATATATATCAATGAAAAGTTCGAGTAATCAAACAAAGTTATTTAAAATCTTGGAGTAGAAGAATTTGTGAAATCTTCGTATTAGAACTATTAAACCCGTATGAGGCAGTAGTAAAGCAAGTTATAATACAATTATCAAGATATATAGACTTCAATGATGACGATTTGTCAACAAATTTGTTCCTTTTCTTCGTCTTAGTACTTTTGTTTTTCGGTGAGTCCATTTTGCAAGCCCAGCCAAAGAAAAAATGAAAAGTTCCTTTGTTTAGAAGGTGCTTAGAATGTCATGCCTAAAGAAAGGAAAAAAGAATGTAGTAAGTGAGAATTGATCTATGTTTCTAGAAAACATGTACATAATATATCTAATTTAGTGGAGAGATCATAGGTTTACGTGTATCATATTTTAGTCTATATTTTCGCCCCTGCTTAGAAAAGTATAATTATGTGAAGGCCTTATAGTATGCATGAATCATATATGTACAAAGCATATATATATATCTCCTTGAATTCTATTTATTTTTATTTGATTGTTTGGTTACTTGAAAAGTGAAGAAGACGTGCTAAAAATCCATTGAAAGCCATTGAAGATCGTTTAAGCATGAATTTGAAAATTTTAGTTTTCGAAATTTGATTTTGTTTTGAGTGGGTGTTGTTGGAATTGATTGGGCACATCTCAAGGAGTTTGAATCTAAAATTTGGGATGATTTGATGGATATTTGAGGTGGTTTGGATTGAAATTTGAGCTAATTCGATGTAAACGATGAACAGGAAAAAGATGAGATGTGTATCCCCATACCTTTTGTGTATTCCATATTTATCAAATGTGTATTCTATATGTATCCTTTGTATATTTATGTATATCTGCGTGTGAGATACATGTTAGAGTAAAAATAGCACGGGCTAGTCGGTTTTCGGACTGGTAGTTGAAAAATAGCCAGCGTTTGCAAAGTCATTGATAAATAGCCACTATTTTGCTGCAACACAGAAAGTTCCAGCATAATATACTGGAGATTGGTGCCCCTGTGTATGAACTTCCAGCATATTATGCTGGAACTCCAACACACGAAAAGTTCCAGCATAGTATACTGGAGATTGGAGCACATGTGTATGAACTTCAAGCATATTATGTTGGACGAGTATATTTTGCTGAAACTCCAGTATATTATGCTGGAAGTCCAGTATATTATGCTGGAATATTTTCCGAATTTTGAACAGTGTTTTCTTTCAGATTTATCTTTACATGAAAAGTGGTTAAATTTCTATTATTTTTGAAACTGTAACTATTTTTCAATTCCCGCTTGTAAATCTGCTATCTTGAATTTCACCCCATGTTAGATACATGTGTCGTAGAGAAATTTTTAAACTGTATTTCAATTAAGAATTTTGACTCCGAGCTAGTCCAAATCACATCTAATCTTCCTCAAATGTTATATGTTGCTTCATTTGTGTTTTCAGTGAATCATAACCATACTCATTAATTTTGACCGTCATCCTCCTTAAATTATTATTGACTTTGTAAGTATGATTACTAATCTGACATTTTCTCAAATACAAATATCCAGCTGTAGAACCATCAACTTATATAAACCAAAAAAGGAGAGATGAAAGTAGATGAAAAGAAGGAGAACTGATTTTACAAACATATAAATAACATGATGCCTTAGCTAGACATTACAAAAACTAAAAAAAACATGTTTGAATCGTTCCTATGGTTATAAGTATATATTATATTATGGATGTTCATTTAGTATTTCGTTATGGATAATATTATCCCCGGTAGAAGATTATCTATATCTGGTACAGTAGCAGCTTACACAGTAGCTTGCAGTAGCAGCTTACACAGCAGCTTGCAGTAGCAGCTTACATAGCAGCTTCCTTTCTTTTATAAATAGAGGAGATTTCAGTTCATTATGTACATCAGTTTAAAACTTGTCTTCAGTTTATTTACTTTACAGTCGTTATTTTATAACACGTTATCAGCACGAGACTCTGCCATCCAGGGCAAATACTTTAAAAGTATAAGAGAATAAATTATGTTTGGATCAAAGACCAATCATGAAGATATTTGTGTAATTGATAGTGGAACAACTCATGCCATATTCAAGAATCAGAAATACTTTTCTTATTTGCATAAGGGAAAAGCAAGTGTTTCAACAATTTTTGGTAATATAAGTTTGATTGAAGACGCCGGAAGAGCCATTATATTTCTCTCTAAGGGAACAAAACTTATTATAGACAATGCATTGTTCTCCTTCAAGGCCCAAAGAAACTTGTTGAGTTTTATAGATATCCGCCGAAATGGGTATCATGTTGTGACAATAGATGAAATGAATGTGGAATATCTTTGTATTACAAAGAATATTTCTGGCCAGAAATGCATTGTAGAAAAATTACCAACTTTATCTTCTAGCTTATACTATTCAAAGATCAGTACAGTTGAGCACACTCTATCATAAACAGAAGTTTACCGATTCAAATACTTTTGTGCTTTGGCATGGCCGTTTGGTCCATCCTGGATTAATAATGATGAAATGAATTATTGAAAATTCGAGTGGGCATCCACTAAAGAACCTGAAGATTCTTACCAATGACGAATTTTCTTGTGATGCTTGTTATCAAGGCAAAATGATCACTAGACCATCACCAATGAAGGTTGGCATTGAATCCCCTGCCCTTTTGGAGCGTATACATGAGGATATATGTGGACCTATTCACCCACCAAGTGGGTGGTTTAGATATTATATGGTCCTAATAGATGCATCTTCAAGATGGTCTCACGTATCCCTACTATCATCTCGCAACCTGGCGTTTGCAAAGCTATTAGCCCAAATAATTCGATTAAGGGCACAATTCCTAGATTATCCTATAAGGCTATTCGCCTTGATAATGTTGGAGAATTCTCATCTCAAGCTTTTGCTGATTATTGTCTATCAATTGGGATAAAAGTTAAACATCCTTTAGTTTATGTTCATACTCAAAATGGTCTTGCAGAGTCATTTATTAAACGCCTGCAATTGATAGCAAGACCACTACTTATGAAAACAAAATTACCCACTACTGTTTGGGGTCATGCTATCTTGCATGCAGCATCACTTATTCGTCTCAGACCGACACATTATAATAAATATTCTCTGTTACAATTAGTTTTTGGTCATGAACCAAATATTGCCCATCTACGAATTTTTGGATGCGCTGTATATGTGCCAATAGCACCACCACAGCGCAGTAAGATGGGCCCACAGAGAAGGTTGGGAATATATATTGGGTTTGAATCACCCTCTATTATTCGCTATCTTGAACCATTGACGGGAGATTTGTTTACTGCTCGATTTGCAGATTATAGATTTGATGAAACATATTTCCCACAATTAGGGGGAGAGAAAAAGGAAATTAAAAGAGAAATTGTGTGGAAAGTTTCATCATTATCTCACTTTGACCCACGTACCCCTATATCTAATTAGGAGGTCCAGAAGATCATTCATTTACAGAAAATAGCAAATCAAATGCCAAATGCATTTACTGATTTGAAAAGGATAACTAAGTCACATATTCCTGCATAGAATGTGCCTATCCGTTGATGTCCCAGCAGGACCATCTACTAGCATGAGAGCTAGTGACCCAAAGCACGCCTGAAGCGTGGTAGGCCTTTGGGTTCTAAGGATCGAAATCCTAGAAAAAGAAAATCGACAAATGATCAAAATAATACTACGAAGGGATCTCATGAAGAGACCCAAGATCTGATTAGTTCTGAGATTCCTGAAGAAATCAATGAACCCGAGATTCAAGTGAGTGGGGAACTTTTAATAAGTTCTACTGGTGATGGGATTGATTTAAGT